TATGCTACGAGAAAGAAATATTCTTTCTTCCATTATTTGAAGTATTTTTTCTTTGAAGAAACGAGTAATATGAAAGTAATACTTCAATGAAAGTAATTTACTTCCATCAACTACATTCGTGCTAATAATAGTAATACACAGATAATGCATATATTTTTCTATTCAATGTAGATGTTTTCTCAAAATATGTTTATTTATATTTTGTTTCATTTATAATATGAATTAATTAACTACATAATAATATGAATTAAAACCTATGTGATATTCATTTACTTAACTTATGATATCCTACCAAACATGATACTTATATTTTGGGCTAATAAAATTAATCTTATTAGTGAACAAACGTAATTTAATTGGAGTGTTTTAAATTACATAAATTAGGATAATTAAAAAGAATTGTTTTAATATACTTAGATTAACAAAAATTTAAGTAACTATAATTATTTGGATCATACAGTCAAAGTAAGATATTGAAGATGCACACCTTATAAAATATCACGGTTAACTAAAAGTCGATGGGAAATTATAAAGTTAATTAGTTATAATTATGGGCCACACAGATTTGAAGTATGTGCTTTATACAATTTGGGAAGAATATAAGATATTCGTTACTTTGTTAATATGTATTCAATATTAAAAAAATATCGAATATTATCTTTTGAAAAAGCCATACTAATGGAAATAAGACAATAGTAGGGTATTCAACGATCAAAATATATATACCATTATTAGGATAACCTAATACACTATTTCAGAAATAAACTTGAATTTGAAAAAGATATCTGTTCTAAGTTCAATTTTTGAGCTTCATTTAAAGAAAAAAATATGTAACCTAACTTCCGATCCTTAGATTAAAGATGACTTAAACAGTCATTATATAAAAGAATAACACGTATTTATAGATATTATTTCGGATCATTAGTTTCTTTATATTAATGGATATAAATAGGTTTTAAAGAAAAAAAAATTTAAAATTAAAACATGAGGCTATAATAATTAATAAAACTAAATAAAAATATTAAATATAATAAAATAATGTTTTAATATCGAAATATTTTTTAGTTACTTACTTACTAACTGTAGTCCTATCCTCCTCGTGGGGCATAGGGCCTTTACAACAAATCTAAATCTTAAGCATCATGACAAATTTTATTCTAGGAGTAGTGTGTAGCGTTAAAACTATTGTTTTAACTGTAGTGCCAATGATTCTGCACCAGGTTTGAGCTGGAACCTTCGCTTGTCGAGATTCTTGAGGGTTTCAGCGAAGTGTAAAAAAAAAGCATAAAAAAAAGCATCGATTTTACATTGGACGCAAAAATGCGGAGCTTCATTCTAATCGATATGTAGCTGGATTTTCAAGCGGTGTTGGGAATGCCAAAGAAGATTTGAGTTTATTAATTCGAGTGATAACATCTTGGTCCGCTACACTTCTAAGATATGTAAAGTATTGAACATGGTCACTTAAGTCTATCAGTCATTAAGATAATATATATATATA